AAGTTTTTAATGGTCTGGCCCCATCATATTTATGTGATCTTCTTAACATCTACACTCCAATCAGAGCACTCAGGTCTACCAACCAGTTTCTGTTGGATGTTCATWGATCCAAACTGAAATCTAGAGGTGACCGGGCTTTTGCAATAGCTGCTCCAAAGCTGTGTGTGGAACAGTCTGCCTCTGAATATTCGGTCAGCAGAGACTGTTGAGGCTTTTAAATCTTTGCTGAAGACCCATTTATTTTCTTTCGCTTATGATTAAGGCCGAGTTGGAGGTTCAGTTAAAGCCTTTTCATATATTATATTGTGTTTCTGTATTTGTATCTCTTGATTGTTTTTTGATATGTCTTGACTGAACTGTGAAGCACTTTGGTCAGCTTTTGTTGTTTTAATGTGCTATACAAATAAATTTGACATTGACATTGACATTAGTATGAGGCATAAAGCYGCTAAGGTTAGTTTTAGAGAAAATGACATGGTAAAGTAGACAGGACTCCGGCGGTAGCAGATTGTTGTATTCCAACGTATATGGTACTGGTAACCCACTACGGGGGCACTGTCGGGACAGTCTGAAACCATTCTAAGGGACTGATAACCACTAATAACATCCATTTAATGTAATGATAACATCCAAACCGGCTGGTGCTTTATACTTCCGGCTCTCTGGTCCTGTCCCTCTCTCAGTGACTGACATGAACTCTGCAGCTGCTGCTCTGTAGCTGCTCCTCTGTAACTGCTGATCTTTTGCTGCTGCTCTTTAGCTGCTGCTCTTTTGCTTCTGCTCTGCAGCTGCTATTCTGTAGCTGCTCCTCTGCAGCTGTTGCGCTGTAGCTAATGTTCTGCAGCTGTTGCCCTGTAGCTGATGCTCTTTAGCTGCTGCTCTGTAGTTGCCCCTCTGCAGCTGCTCCTCTRCATCTGCTTCTCTGTAGCTGCTTCTCTGCAGCTACTGCTCTTCAGCTGCTGATCTGTGGCTGCCCCTTTGCAGCTGCTGCTCTATTGCTGCCCCTGTGCAGCTGCTGCTCTTTAGCTGCTCCACTTTAGCTGCTGCTCTGTAGCTTCTCCACTTTAGCTGCTGCTCTTTAGCTGCTCCTCTGTAGCTGYTGCTCTGTAGCTTCTCCTATGTAGCTGCTGATCTTTAGCTGCACCTCTGCAGTTACTCCTATGTAGCTGTTGCTTTTTAGATGCTCCTCTGCAGCTGCTACTCTGTAGCTGCTCCTCTGTAGGTGCTGCTCTGCAGCTGCTTCTCGGTAGCTGCTGCTCTGTAACTGCTCCTCTGCAGCTGCAGCTCTGTATCTCCTCTGTAGCTGTTGCTCTGTAGCTTATGTTCTGCAGCTGTTGCTCTTTAGCTGCAGCTCTGTAGCTGCTYCTCTGCAGCTGCGCCTCTGCAGATGCTCCAGGGTAGCTGCCCCTCTGAAGCTGCTGCTCTGTAGCTGCCCCTCTGAAGCTGCTGCTCTGTAGCTGATCCTCTGTAGCTGCTATGCTGCAGCTGCTGCTCTGTAGCTGCTCCTCTGCAACTGCTGCTCTTTCACTGCTGCTCTGTAGCTGCTCCTCTGCAGCTTCTGATCTTTAGCTGCTCCTCTGTAGCTGCTGCTATGTAGCTTCTCCTCTGTAGCTGCTGATTTTTAGTTGTAACTCTGCAGCTGTCCTCTGTAGCAGCTGTTCTTTAGCTGCTCCTCTGTATCTGCTCCTCTGCCGCTGCTTCTCTGTAGCTACTGCTCTGTAGCTGCTCCTCTGTAGCTATGATCTTTAGCTGCTCCTCTGTAACTGCTCCTCTGTAGCTGCTCCTCCGTAGCTGCTCCTCTGCAGCTGCTGCTCTGTAGCTACTGTTCTGTAGCTGCTCCTCTGTAGCTATGATTTTTAGCTGCTCCTCTGTAACTGCTCCTCTGTAGCTGCTCCTCTGTTACTGCTCCTCTGTAGCTGCTCCTCTGTAACTGCTCCTCTGCAGCTGCTGCTCTTTTGCTGTGATCTTTTGCTGCTTGTAAGGGTCAGCT